GAGATCTTTAAGCATCTCATTCACAGATCCCATTTTGCCATGCCTGGAGTGACTGGATGGGGCTGAAATTTTGGGGGCCAGTTTTAAAGGGATGGGGTTAGTTTAAGGCCCCTTAAGATCCCTTGTAACAAAACAAAACTCAAGGGTCACTCCCACCCATTCCCGCAGTGCCATACTATTGCTGTCCATGCGTCCTCATGCAGCCCACCCAGATTAAAACTAGGAGCCCACCCTTGCTGCAAACTTTGATCAGCTTGAATGTATCTTGGCTTCTCTTTCCCAAACAGTGTGCCTATTTAACTATCATTCCATATTTAAACAAGCACATAGAAAGACAGTTCAATAGCCATGCTGCTGGAGGTTAGAGAACAAGCCTGTAATGGAAGGCATGTGCAAGGAGGATACTGGAATGGAAGATCAAGGCTATCAGGAGGAAGGGAGTGCATTCCAGGAGAGGGTACAGGGTAAGCGCTTTCTCAGCCCACAGCAGGACCGTGAGAAGAAGCAGCTGAGGCTAGCCCCTCCCTAGAGGCTCACAGGTTGCTTTGGCATTGATTTAGTCTAGCGAGATTCTGTCTTTTGGGCGTAAGCTAATAAAGGAACTATACTGGACTGGACTGCCTCATCATTGTTCTTGGGCTGGGCCTGACAAAGCCTGCGACTTCATTCGTGGTAACCAAGCTTATGGTTTACAGTAAATATGTCATATGGACTTTGTGGGTTCATAGACATTTATCCAACAGACAGCCCACCATACCTTCTTGTGATTTTCTCTCTCTCTCTCTCTCTCTCTCTCTTTATTACCAAAATAAGGCAAGTTACTGTTTCCAGTTTCAGGCATGTATTCCCTTCCTTCCCTCTCCTACCTCTCCACTCTATCCTGACCTCTCTGATAAGCAGTAGTAAAGCAATATAGTAAACCAGAAGTTTGATTTATGCACATTTGTTGAAGCATTTTAAAATTAACTCTCTCTCAGCAGCTTGGAGACAGTTAACATAACCAGGGGCTGAGTTGCTGTTAGCGAAGAATCCTCTTACCATTGATAGAATCAGAAAAATGGAGGGAGCATACACTCTCATTGACAATTCTGCCCTGTTTTAAGTTTCAGAGAAGTCGGTGTAGGATTACCATCTGTCAGACCTCCCTCACAAATCCTTATTCTCATGCTACAGTACTGTGTTCAAAGGTACAAAGAACAAAGTTTCTTTCAAATACAGCTGAATTATGCCAATGATTTGTTCTTCAAATGAGTGTGACTATTAATAAAATAAAAACTATCCTTTGAATAATGTATATAGGGACCTTGAGCCAACAAGGAATAACTCTTTTGCTGATTTGAACAACTCCTTAAGCTTGCAGTGACATATTTGCCCATGTCATGACTTATTTGAATCACTCGGGAGAAAGCTGGAACACAGAGTGGTAGAAATCAACCTGCTTCTTTCTGAACATTGTGCACTATCACATAAAGTGGCTTAGAGATGGGAACTAGGGTACGGAGGCATGTATCTTTTAACCCTGAACAGATCCTCTAATTGAGCACAGTAACTTTTTTGGAGCTTTAACAGAAAAGTTTAAGGGATTATTTTTATTAAAAATGGAGGAAAAGTACATGTTCTTGTTCTAATTAATTCCCACTTTTTTTTTTAACACTGAAAGGGAAAGAACTCTCACAGGTTGTCATATCCTGATCTGGAATGAAAATTGAATTGGGGGATGCCTACTGCATCTCATTTTTGGCGAGCCAGTGAGTCTTCTGATTTTCTTTTCCAGGAAATTACATTTCAGCATTAGATTGCTGAGGTTGTAGGCAGGCTGAGAATGAAGCTGCTTACTTAAATCCCAGGGCATACAAAAGGCTTACTATTGTATTTTAAACCGGGCCTCTCAAAGTTGTTTGTTATTCTCCCTTCCACATTTCCCAATTTCTCAGTACAAGATTTTAGGCATAAATCTTAAAGGAAGCATTATTGTTATTCTCCTTCTGACTTTGGGTTCAGTCCATCGGGTGTTTGTGTGGGCCCTGTCTTCAGTTTGTTCAAATGGTATTTCTGTCAGAGCTCTATTGAAATTCAGAACTACTGCATGCACTGTGTTCACACTGCCTTTAGTGTAACAATGTACACAATTTCACATTTAATTATAGGCATTCTTTAGAGTTCCAACAGCAACTTTTAATTATAACTTAGCCATAAAAGAGCACTACATTGATACAGAATCTCTCCAAATGCTTTAAAATGAAAAGGGTGGGGGGCGGGGAGGCATACATTTCTTTTTTTATTTTAAGTTGTGACAGCAAAACTGTGGCACAAGAAGAAGTGTGATCACAGCAGTACCAGTTTAGCTCTGGCAAATTAGCTAAATAGCTAGTATTTGGAGCATTTCACACCTTTAAATCCTTAATATGCACTGCTAAATATATTTCATCACAGTTTGCTAATTAATGTTCTATGAAAATTACAGCTGCTAATTTTTGTGGTTAACATAGCTCATTTCAAAGTGTTAATAAGTTGCATCAGTAATAGGTGTGACAACAGTTTATAAAATCTGGTTGAACATGCACTATTTAGAGTTATCACAGATTCATTAAATACTACAATTAGTGTGCAAGAAAACTTTGCTGCTCCTGGCTTCAATATTATCAACTGATCTGTACCTAGTTCTTTGGTGACTAGCATCTTTAGCTTTTCCCACAGTACAATACAGTACTACTGATTCTTTTTCTTCTTCATTTGTTTTACTTGGCCATGATTTGATGCAAACTATTGTAATAGCTCATTGGACATTTAGTGTTTCATTGTTCACTAGCATTCTTTCATTTTAGGAAGCTATAAAGTGTCAACTTTATTATTATTTTGTTGGGATATTCAAAGGCAATCCTTCAAAAAGCTGTTTCTGTTGCTACGTAACGAGTGAAGCAGGAGAGTCAGGAAGAATTCCTCATGCTCACTTTTTTTAAAGTTTCTCCATGGTGCCCAAGCTAAAATATCTATGGCTGTTATGTATGTTGTTGAATTAAATGTCTACATGGAATAAGAAGCTTAATGAAAAATCTCCCAGGTTCAGTCCATTGCATTTCCAAATAACACTGTAAGAGAATCCAATTTGAAATCTGGAGAGACTTCTTAGATGTCAGCTCCCTACATTTCCCGTGGTTCAGATGTGGTGGGAGGTCTCTCTCTCTCTCTCTCTCTCTCTCTCTCTCTCTC